GGTTGTGTCGGCGCCGCCATCGCCCCGCAAGGGCCGCCCCCTCAGCGGGGCCCTGCTCCGCCGCGGGCGTGACCCGCCAAACCGCGCCGGATCCTCTTTGCATGGGAACGGTGCTCGGCTGAGGTCTGCGAAGTGTCTTGCTACTGAAAAACCCAGTCTACTCCGGTATCTTTCGTTTGGATTGTCTTTCTGGATTTTTTTTTAGTAGCGGAAACTCGCAGGTGCTGTTTTTTGGTTTGCAGACCAGCGTTATATGTGTCCTTTTACTAACTGCCTTTTCTTTAATTTTATTCCAGGTAGCGTCCCTTCTCTAGCTGCTGGTCTTCTCTTCGGTGGCTTAGCAGGGCTAGGTGCTTACCAGCAGTCCAGAGATCCAAAGAACGTGTGGCTGTCCCTCGGTAAGTTTGCTCGGCACCCAGGTACCAAGCGTTACCGATGGTGGTGGGAATGGTAACTTTCTAGCGTGTTTCTGCTGATCTGTGCCCTTTTCTGTTTACAAATATTGTAAGTGGTGGCAGGAGGTATTTGTGTAAGAGCATGGTACCTGGTTCTAAAACTTAAGTTGTCCTTCTTGAAGCCAGAGTTGGTGAGAAATACAGATCTCCTCTGCCAGGTTAGGTACCGTGTTAAGCTTACATAGGCACAGGAAATGTACCTGAAAAAGGCTTGGTTGTGAAATGGCGTTTTTAGCCTATGGTTGTGGACTAAGCATTTTTGCAGTAGTGGCAGCACTGTGACAAGTGGTATGTGGCTTTATAAAATATTGGTTTGCACAAGCATCTTGGGAGAGCAGTATAGGTGTTAATGCATCATACGCTGTAGAATGGTCTGAAGTATGTACAAGAAAGGAGTCGATGAACTGTTGTGCTTGCTTACAGTAGATGGGACAAGAAGTTGTGGGTTTAGCTTGTGGTTAACCCTTCAGGTGAAGGAGAAGGATAGAAGGACAGTGGCAAGTATTATGAAGCACTGGAAGAGATCAGGTGAACCTCAGGGACCTCCATCACTGCAGGACTTTAATAACAGGTTAAACTAGTCTGTCAGGAATTGATTTAGCCTTTGGGCACTAGGTTAACCTAGATGACCTCTTGACGTTCCTTCTAGTTCTGCAGCTATGCCATAGGATTATTAGCGTTATGTTACTATAGCATTACAGCTATTTGAGCCTATTTAAAACCAGTAGGACTTGATCATGTAATGTGCTGAAAGGCTTTGTGAAGCCCTGGTAGATACTGCAGAGGACCAAGTTGCTTTGTCAGTAAGGGAGGAAATGAAAAACACAGCTTAGTAAGAAGCGAAGCTTCCACGTGTGAACTTTCTCTTCCACTCTGGCATGCTGCGGGAGCAGCTGTGCATCTCCAGCACAAGTTCTTAGGCTGTGCTACAACAGAAAGATGAGCAGCTTCTGTGTATCCTGATGTGGTGCATGTAGTGCTTTCAAGTGGACCTCTTGAAAGCGGTGTTATGCCCCAGTCTAGTACAGCTCCTTACTCATCCATTGCTCCTCAGCCCTGCTGCTATGTGCAGTTGTGGCTCCTGCTGAGCTATAGGTTGGCCATAGTGCATCTCGGGCAGAAATCCAGAACCACCTTCACAGAATATCTTTAGAATACCTTTTGCCCTGTCTGATGCAAAAAAAAAACCCCAACCGTTTGAAGCTTTGGAGAAGGGTATGCAACACCTCCACCTGCATTTATTCTTTGAAGAAACCACAACCCTGTAACTTTTACATGAATATTGATGAGATTTTTTTTTGCTTGGACTTAGAGATGAAATAATTTGGAGTAGTGTTTAAGATGTTAGTTGCTCTTTCAGTTTGATCCATTAGATTGCTTTCTGTTTGCTAATTCATATTTTCAAGTGGGGTTGTTTTATTCCTAGTTGTAGTATTTAGTGCCACTTTCTAGTTCAGAATGTCACAGAGAAACAGGAACTATAATAATATTTGCCTCCCACGTAGTGAACTTTGTCACTGTCCCAGGTTTCTGGCAGTTTTGAGCTGATTTGTATTCAAGGAAATATCATTCTCCTGCAAATAAGGAGAAACTGAGGGAGAGTTGGTGATCTGCCCAGAGGATTGGAGGTTGTGGGCGATTACACAGTAGTCTCAACCCTGATGAGATCTACTTGTTCCTACAGAGCCATGGAGCACGCTTGCCAAAGCTTCAGAGAAGCTTGCGACAGCTCTACCGTTTAACAAAAATGAGTAAAATGTTTGCATGTGCTTCCTTGTGGAGAGGAGGGAGGCGTTCCTGTCTGTAGGCACAGGCCTGTTTGGTTGCCACCGCTAAACGTCCAAGTGTTGCAGGCCTGCACTGGTATTTCTGTTTCAAATGGTTCTAACTGGGCTTCTTCTTGACAGTGGCATCTGGAACCTTGTCTGCTGTTATGGGAATGAGATTTTACAACTCCAGAAAAGCAATGCCTGGGATAATTGCTGGTGCCAGGTAGTCACCTGTCTTTTGTTCTTGTCTGTATTTTTTAATAAGGATTTTATTTAACTTTTTTGGTGGATTATATTATTTTAAAAATGTTACGCAGTAAGTTCTGTGAAAAATGAAATCTGATGGAGTTCAGCTATATGAAGTCATGTTTTTTTCCTTCTTGTTCTTTATGGGATTTTTGCCTCTACCCCTTTTTTTTGGTAACAACTATTCTGTTTGACAGTTTACTGATGGTTGGACGGCTTGGGTTGCAGATCATGGAAAAGCCTCTTAAGCCATAAGTCTGCATCAAATCACTTGAAGATACATGATTGAGAAGCCTGAAAATGCAACTGCCTAAACGTGCTATACCAAAGTGGAAAGGCCACTGCTGTCTGTGCATTTTTTCATGTTTTTCAGACCCTAACACATGTGGCTTGTGTTTTGAAAGGACTGACATTGGGAGCCCTTGTTATGTCTTCCAAAACGGTATTTGTCTTAATATTTTCTGCACTGTGAAGCAAGAAAATACGAGTATAGCATTAGTTTAGCTTCTGGTCCTGCAGTTAACTGTAGGCAAAGACCTCTTGGCACTTGCATGCAGTTGCAGGATTGAATCTTAAATGTACATCTGGACTAGTCATGCTACAATCATGTGTACCTCTAAAACAAGGGGAAAAAGAGTTGCCAATTTATCACTAGTAATTAATATAACAAACGTGCTTATTACGTTACTTCTCCCTTTCCTTGACAGTTTATCTGGTCATGATGTTTGGCAGCCAGGGACTTTGTTCTCCCAGCACTGTATGTTAGAACCTGGTCCCATAAAACACAATCATGGAGCAGGCTGTCAAGGCTCTGCTGTAATGCAACGAGTGCAAACCTGTTACTTGCCATTACTTGTAAGCCAAAGTGCCCAGCTAAAATGTAATTAGTTTAACTTTTACAGATTATTATTCATAAACCAAAAATATGCTTTATTAGATAATGCTGAATTATAGGCATAGCTCTTGCATTTTGTGAGAATTAAAATGTTATTCTAAATAAACCAACAAATTATTATTACCAACTTTTGTGTTCTACACAAGTTTTTTTTTCTTTAATCATTCATCTGGATTGATATAGTTTGGTGTACAGCCTTTCCCACAGAGTGTCTGGGTATGCTTGTAAGCATGAATTCTATAAATAATCTATTCCATTCCCTGAATCTAGTTACTTGTCTGTATAAAAATCCCGTGACTGGGAGAAGGCCTAGAGAACAAAAGCATTCAGACTGCATATTCAGACAAGTGTTATATTAAAGTTGTTGGGATTATTTTTTGAGAGGAATCATCTATTTTAGATTTGAAAAATGCTCTGTAAAAGTTTATTTAAAGACTGAAAGGCTCAGTTGATCAGTCTTTGTCCTCATTTGATTCCCTTGATGCCTGAAATCATTCTAAATATAAACCTGCCATACAGAAGCAATCCTGGGAGCTACGCATGGATGGTAATGTATCCCTTTTCTGGTCTCATTTAACTTACGTCCCTTTCTGCACAGATCCTGAGCTTCCTCAGGATTTCCTCAACCTTTCTTCTTTGGTGTCTGGTACTGGGAGAGATGGAAGCAGTGGGTTGATCCATTAGATTGGTGAGACTCTGGAGTTGCTCCAAGTTCTCTAAATACCAGGCTGGTTCCTTAGCAGGAGGGTGACATGTTGTGCTCTTCCTTCCCTTGTTCCTTGTTGCGGCGAACGAGCAGGGCAGTGACCTTGTGCTGCCTGAGCAGCAGGCGCAGAGCTGGGCTGGTGGCCGTAGCTGGGCTCTGTTCGCAGTGCCCTGGCTTGCTAGGCAAGTCGCAGAGATGCGGCAGGGCTGAGGTCAGGCCAGGGCGCCAAGTCAAGCAGGTTGGGCTCCAGATCAGGAGGGATGTGGCCAGGCACGGGCATAGCTGCAGCACAGCGCCAGCAAGGACAAGGGTCTTGGCAGCCTGGTCTCAGGACATACAACTTGGGTCAGAGCTGGCTGGCTGGAGCAGAGGCAGCGGGATCTCTTGAGTGGGACCTGTACTCGGGCACCTTCCTAGAGCCCTTATTCATCATCCTGCAGAGTTCAGCTTCAGGTGCTCACCTGTATTCACTTTACTCCCTGCAGAGAAACAAGAGGTGGGCAGGACAGCGGGTGGTTTGTTTATACATTGTCTTTTTTAAGTGCCTAATCCCAGGCTGTGGACCCAGTGTTGGTGGGCAGGTGTCTGAACATCTTTGCTTTAGCTTGAAAAGGGTAATAAGCCAGACATTAGCATTTGAGACACTTCTCTTTGAATTACTAATGGATTATTTGCCTCTTGGTATTGCTTTTGAAGCTATTATCTTCAGTGGCAGTAAGATGCAAACATAAATGCATCTCCTGCAATAAACTGAGAACAGCCACAATCCAGCAGTTTTCTAATGTGTGTAGTGTTGGTCTCAAATCAGGTAACTTGCAAATTTGGGCTGCAATTGCCCTTTAATGGAGTAAAGACAATAGAAAGCATGGAATTGGACTGATAAGCTTTTAAACTCTTAGACCAAAGCGTGTAAGCCTTGCTGCTGTTTCATGAGTTTTGGAAAGCAGTAGCAGGAATTAAGAACTGCTGATAGAACTCTTGTTATTGCTTCCCATGTTCAGCAGAAACAGTAGTAATCCAGACAAAGGGAGGAGAGAAAAGATTAGCCTTACATGTTTTATATTCCCTTGGAAGTTTATCAGCATATACAAAATTTCTTAAGAGTTAGATGGCATTTCTGCACTAACAGTTCAATGTATCAGAGTTAAAACAACAGTACAAAGCCTGTTGGCCTCTTACTATTATTTTCTTGCTGTTGGCAAGAAGAATTTCTTAACACTTGTCATGCTTTGATTTTGGACAAGTAAAGGCTGTTATGGTTATGTCAAAGCAGTTTCGGTGTTCATTACCATAAGGACAGCATGTTTCTTCTAGATGTATTTAGTGACATAAATAGTACCTATTTATTTTTCTGCTCTAGGTGACTTATGGACATGTGAGCTATGGACACATTAGTTAGTTAATTCCTTGACCAGACTGTGATTTTTAACTAAGTCACTGGAATCTCATATTAGAGATGAGCAATTAATTTATCTTGTTGGGTTTTTTTAATTATAAAACCAGTGCATTTATGCCTGTTATAGCAAGTCTGAGGTTGTCCTTAATTGCCATAGCCAGTTACAGATACATTCTACAGATAAATTAAGATGCGTTTAAATAGCATAGGGACATCTGTTAGTACTAAGGAAATGACAAATACTTAAGCCTATACCAATGGCAATTAAACTCCCTAGTGTGTTACTAACCAGATATCCCAATATACCTCTTCCAGTAGTAAAGTGGCATTTTCTTTAGCTGCAATTTTCAAACAGAATACTTGATTTTTTGGTATAACTGTTTTAGAGTAAATTGATTTCCAGTATGTTAACATAATGCATACATTATGGCACATTAGGTGAACAATAGGAATTGAAATTTTTATATGCAGTTATAAAAGCCATACAAATACATTTTTTTTTTTTTTACAATGCTTAAAGTAATCATTAACAGCTTTATATCTTTAAAGAACATAGTCCTTTTGTACTTTAAAAGGGCAGGTTTAATCTAACTACTAAATCTAAAGCATCTATTCTAAATGCAGTTGTTAAGAGAAGTAGCCTAGCTCAACATCCTAAAACAAATTTATTGTACATTGCAAGGTCCTTTGCAGGATATTACTAAAAAACTTAGCATAGAAGCCAGGGAAAGTACTGAATGAGCATATAAACAGTGAGGTATTGCATTATTAGTTTGTGTGTGTTTTCAGGTACCTATGTTGGCCTTTAAGATCTAAAACTAGAAAGCAACATCTTTGAAGAACAGCCTAATATCCTCCCTCACATAGCTTATCCAACTTCTGTAGTTGAGTCCAATCACCCAATAAAGACATGTAGAAACAGGAATTACTGATAATTTATGCCTTTTTGGCCAATTCACCCTTAAATGACTGACAGACTGCTGTGATTCAGGCTCCTTAAAATGTCACTGTGACACTCCCATGACAGGACAGATAGAAATCTCCACAGATCTTTGACCAAAAATGGTCACAAGTTAATTGTAACAGTAGAATCTAATTTTTAGGCTTCACTACAGCTTGGCAAGGTAAGTGTAGCATTCGGTACTTGTTCAGCTATTTTCCAATATTGCTATATCATTCTATAGCCATGTACATGCCAAGTTTTTAGACCCTGCTTGTGTACTATTTATCAGTGGATTGCTTGTGCTCTGCTACAAGGAATTAAGTTCTCATTGCTGTTACGAATATTTGGACATTACAGACCCTAAGTAACTCTTAGGTACAAGTGAGTTCTGAAGTCCTTGTAGGAGAGCATGGTGTTCTTCATAAAACCCAATATGTGCTTTCACTCCCATCTTTCTCATAAGGAACCAGCCTAATACCTGAAAGCCTGGTGCTGCTCTGCTTCTAGTTGCTTCTGTACTTCAAGCATATGCTAATAGTGGCTGTTGCATTGGGCAAAGAACTGTAACAGTTGTTTTAAGAGTACGAGGATAAGAGATCCATCTATAGAGAAATGTTGAGTGAAATCTACCTCTTGGTTGTTTTGGCAATATGTGTTATACAATACTTCAATAAATCCTATTTTATAGCATGTATTTTACGTGGTATTACATGTATTATACAGGTAATAGAACACAAGGTCTTTTTTTCTTCTTTACTAGTGCATAGTCTTAGGAAAAGTTAGAGCAAATAGGCATTTTGGGTTTCCAGTGCAGGAGGACTGAACACAGCTCCCGTAACGTCTATACAAGATGGCATTTTCTATCGGTTTCCTCCGTATTTGGCCACCCAGTCTGTTCTTCCATGTACTGGCTGAATTGTTGGTGGGCGAGTTAAAATATTCATGTTTCTTGCTGCTGAACTGAAAGTAGGACCTGGTAACTGAGCACGAGCAGCTTTGGTTTTCCAGGAATAATCTGAAGGGAACAAGAACTCAGAATTAATTATGACTCAAAAGTATTTCACTCCTTTATGGATAAAAGAATAAGAGCTTAAAGATGACTTGTGGTACTCAAGGATGCTAACACGGAAGGACGCTTTGGTCTCTGATCTGCTGTCTGTGCTTGTTTTCAGAGAAGGTTAATGTTTCCTATAGTTTGTGTATCATCTTAATGATTCCCATGTACTGGATACTTGTTTTGCAGCAATCCCTTGAGAAAACATTGAGACTGAAATTCAGTGGAAGAACTGATGTGTATGTCTACAACTCTGTATTT